TCTCTCTCTCTCTCTCTCTCTCTCTCTCTCTCTCTCTCTCTCTCTCTCTCTCTCTCTCTCTCTCCGGAGCCCACAGAAGTACACAATTTCCGTAGACTATTACAGGATTTTATTGTAAAGATGATACAATTTACGGTAGAAAACATGATGGTTCATGTGAAAGGCTTGGATTTGCATTGCTAAAATACAATACTTTTTAATATGTGTGTATGCATATTATTACATGTTCGAATGAAAACTGAATGAGAAAATTTTGTTCTTATTTTTTACTGTTTATAAGATTTTTTTTTTGACGTTACAAAAATGTTTATTTTTAAAAAAATATATATAAAATGAAAATAGTGCCCCATTGATTGATTAAAACCTTGATTTGTTTTAATTTTTTTTGGACCGTAGAAATTATTTCAGGTGGGTTTTGGTAATTTTATTCTCTAAAGTAAACATTACAAGCACCATTGAAAGTGGAACCACTTTAATTAGAGTTGAGTAGCTAACAAGCTCGTGATTAATGGAGTCGTAAGTTATAGAATGGATACTGTGAAACACATTAAAAACATTAGAAAGAAAAAAGCAAAACATGAACCACTTTCTGAGGTTTGTATGCAAATTGAAACTAGACATTGAGTCTTAAAATCATCATGAGATTTACAGAATCCGTTTTAAACCGTACACGCTTAATTTAAAGTAGACAATATCATAAGACATTACAAATGATATCAAAACAAGCTCCCGCAATGATGTTGAGGAGGGTCCCACACGGGAACGTGTGTTTTTTTTTTTTAAGTTAAATTTATTTAGGACAACTTTTATTAATAACAAAATTATAAAGAGATGAGAGAATATAAACTTTTCCCCTTACATAATAAAATAATTTTAAAGACAAAATAAAATCTTAACAATAACTTCAAACACGACATTTTATAGTCAACGAAAAGTCTAGAGAATGAGTCAACTAACAGTGTAACAGAAAGTTAGATAAACAGTATCGTGAACAGTATTTAACAGTTGAACATTAATCTGTTGTTTTCTTGAATAATCCAGCTGAAAGACAGTAATAAGAATATTGAAAGACAGAATGCTGGAATAGTAGTGGCTGCAGGAGACCTCATCAAGTAGAACCAATCCATAAAAATTAATAATATTTAAATCCATAGGATCTCTTTGGCTTTGACAACTTGAATGTTTTTTATCTTGTCATAATTATAGATTTGACTTTATCAAGTGTCAAAGTCAAAGCAAACAACTCTTCCTTTTTTCTCTTATTCTGCATCTCAATCTTTTTGCATATTGACAGTAATCTTTTAGAGCCATAAAAGAATTGAAATTATTTTCTTGAACTACTGGTACCTCCTCCCCATCAAAGTAAAAACCCCTTGATTGCTCATGAAGAGAAGACTTCTTAACGTAGTCATCATTTGAATAAACTTCTCTTAGCTTCAAGGCTTTTTGAATCTCCTCCCCTGACATGCTTGAAATTATCTCTCCTTGACTATGAATATTTTTATGAACTGCTGCCATCATTTCCGGAGTAATGGACTTTGATTTCTCTTCAGCCTCCACTGTTAAGTATTCAAAATCTTGCTTATAGTAACCATAATCCAACAAGGAAGAGTAGTCGTCTATCCCATCATTTGAGACATCTTCAGAAGAAATAGAAAATTTATTTTCAACCTCCTCATCATTTAAATTAACCAACTTATATGCAGTAGAATCATAGCCTTATGTGACTTGATTTTTCGTTAATTCTTGATCAGTGGGATTGAGTTCATTTACAATCTGCAGTTCTTGGATTTCTGAGTGCTGGTTGGTGTTCATAAGATTTTGTTCATGATCCTCTTTTTCTAGTATCGAAGCTGACTTAGACAATGGTGGATTCTCTGAATCTTTGGCTTGAGGATTGGTTTCATTGTTCTGATCAGGAGGACTGGGATCATTGTTTTGATCAAAAGGATTGGCTACATTGTTCTATTTAGAGGATGTATCACATGTCGTAGGATTCTCAGAATCTATCAGTTGCACACTTTCCTTTGGAGGAATATACTTTCCATGCTGCACTATTTTGTCTTTACCCGAATGATCACCCTTTTTCAATCTTGTAAAAGATTTCTCTTTCTCCATGTCACCTTCTGTAATTACCGAAGATATTTCCTTGCCAAAAGTGACTATTGTTTCCTTTATTGGGTTATTGACTTGCTTAGGCTGTTGTTGCTTCTTCCCTCTCCACTGTTGTGCTAGCTTTGAGTGCTTTAACTGCAGCTGAGATTTTTCTTGATATGTTGTTTCTTTATTTGTTTTCCCAGAATTTGAATTTTGCATTATTTCCTTCCCCTTAATCTGCTCTACACTTCGCCTTCTGCTAATTCTGTGACTGGATTCTTTCCTTTTGAGACCATCAATTGCTCCATTGGTTTCTTCTTCCTGCATTCAAGTTCCTCATGGCCCTGTTTCCGGCAACTTTTACAAAATTTCTTATTCCTTTCATATACTATCCGCTGCCATCTTGCATCCTCAACTCTCATATTAATCCAAATTCTATTTGGATTATTTGCAAGTAGATTGACCTCCACACATACCCTTGCTATCCCCAGCCTAGACAACGAGAGTGTCGCTTGATCATATGCCAAAACTTTGCCAATGGGTTTTACTAGTAAATACAAAAACGGTTTCTTGAAAAAATTAAGAGACAATCCACCACATGGGAACGTGTAACCCTAAGAGGGGTGAATTAATGTGACGGTCAAGATTGAGGGGTTAAAGTTCATCCCGTGTCGTTAAGAGAGAAAAAGTGATTGATTTATTTATGTTATAACATTTTTTTAACCCTCAAGGCATTTTAAAATTATACAGACCTAGTCCAAAGTGGTAGTATTATAGCGGGTGCTTGAGGATTTATTTATTTGAAACATGAGTGCTCGTAGTTTTTTTGTAAAGAATGAACAAAAAGTAAAAAAAAAGGAATGCGTGAGGAAGAAAGATAAGTAGCTAGGTCAATTAGTGTGAGAATAAAGTGACAATGAGTCTCATAAAACTATTGAAATTTAAGATTCATTGTGTCCGTCCAACCCACATTATGTGTCAAATCTTTTAATGATAAATCATAAGTAAAGACCCACAACATAAAAGAAGACGTTACACTAATAAACTATTTGTAAGTACCAATAAAAATTGAAAAAAAAAATGAGTATTATAAGAGAACCAAATCGAATAGAAGACTACTTATCAAAAAAAAAAAAGAAAAAGAAATAGGCATAATTTTCAAAAATTGAGAGTTATTTACAATTTTTGGGATTTATTATTAACTTTTTTTAGGATCATTTTTTAATTTGGGGTCATTTATCGGGGGAGGACTAGAAAAAGCTTCAGTAAAAAAAAAAAAACCCTCATTCTATCATGTCTACAAAGAAATTTCAAAAAAAAAAAAATACTACCAACAGATAGAACAAAGAGCACGAATAAAAGACTATTTATGCCACCTAGTTTGGATTCCTTACCTTGAGTTGCTCGATGGTATAATTTTTGGGGGTTATCTTGGGATTAATCCTAAAAAAATTATAATTTATTTTTTGTTGTAAATAAATTCAAAAACTTGTATTTTAATCCATACAACTTACAAAATTTAATGGTAAAGTACTTTTTTTTTGTCCGTTATCTTCTCTCAAATCGAACACCTGTTAGGTTGTTATTACCTGCCATAAATACTTCTTGAATGGATGAATGATTGCATATTGCAAGAAGAATGATTAAAGTGAAAAAGGATTGAAGCATCTAATTCACATGTATGAATTCTTTATGGTGGATTTGAAACCACTTTTGATCTTGTTTAGTGCTCCACTGATTTGTGTTTGGTTGATCTCCAAAAGATTTCCAAAAAGCCAAAAAAAAAAAAAAAAAAACTAGGTACTATGTATACTTTAACTTTTGAGGACAACATTTAGCAATTTAGGTATAATTTGGCTTCAATTGTCAAATATATGTTTTTTTGGTTCAATAATCAGGAGTGTTCAAACCATCTACGTCGGGATTAAAATATTCATGAGAGATAAATCTCTTAAGGCCTGACCCCAAAAAATTGTTAAAATTCAAACTCATAACGTCTAAATTCACAATTTATATTTATTACCATTTGAACTATCTATTAGAGTTGATTCTTTAATATTCACCTGAACATGCGTTTCATTTGAGTTTGATGCTCATATTCAAATTCAAGCTGAAATAAGGATTCAATTCAAATTGAGTATAGATTAAACCCCAATTCTTGCCTAAATTTAAATCAGGCTGAATTTATTTTTTTTCAAACCTAAATTGAGTATTAAACATTTGTGTACATTCAAATTGAAATCGAATTGAATTTGGCTTACTCCGTCCAAGTTGTCTTCCTAATCTGCAAAGCCTTCACAAATAATAAAGTCAAAAATTTTGGGGTTTAGATTTCTTTCAATGCAATAGGGAGACATATACCTAACACCACATATAATGTTTCTTTGAAAAAAAAATGATTAATAATTTTTTATTTATAAAAAGTTAAAAAACATATGAATTTGTCGGGGGTGTGTGAACTTTCTCATATATTCAGCCACATGTTACAAGCATTTTGTGGAGTTGATTAGTAAGATTGATTCGTGTCCCAATAATTTCAGTATCATTCAATTTATAATGAATAATGAACAATTCATGTGAGATAGATACTTAAACGGTCAACTTTAATTAAACAAATAGAAAATGAACCAAAAGTCAAAATACACTCTCAATGAATGAGACCATGATTAGTATGCGGATTCATCAATGCATCTGACTATAATTTATACTCACCAGTTTAAATAATATATGACACCCCTACAAGAACTTGTCATATTATGTTGATGTAGCATTTTGTTTTTTCTCTAGACCACCACCGACGCCAGACCACCGCCGACAGCCTTAGCTTGTGTGACTTCTACTCTAGAAATGAGACTCGAGCATTGAACAACGAAGAAAAGAAAAAAAAGTGTGTGAAAATGATTTTCAGATTATAATTACCTCTAACCGTAAATCTCTAGTTCTACAGATTCCAAAAACCAAATTGAACCTGTAAAGATCCCTAAATAGAAAATAGGTACTAAAGTAATAAGGTGAAAATTTGCCATTATTTACGTTCTTTTTGTGAGGCCACTCTGCCTTGAGCTTTACAAGAAAGAAAATAAACAGAGACTTAGTACAGCAAGAAACACTGAGAAATACAGGCTGCAATACATTGGTAACTTCCAATATTGCACTAGAGAGAAGGGAAAAAGAGTGAGAAAATGAGCAGAAACTGCATTATATTTTTGCCTTTTGTTTCCTTTTTACAATGTTCTTCTATACATCAAACCATTGTCCCCAAGAGAGAAAAACTCAATCAGTTAAATTCATCATCGCCCTCGGTCGTGGACTCCGGCTCTTTCAAGGAAGCTAATGACTGTAGAGGCAACTCACTACGGTACTTTTGAACCACCAAAACTGATGCAGTTGTGGCGAATTCAGGTGAGGTCAGTAAGCTGCCCACTGGCCCCAGTTCTGGGCACTCACTTTTTTTGTTCATTGCTGCCACTAACTGCCCCTCGGACATTCTTCCAACTACAAACAGATTGCAACGACTATACTCCTTGATAACTTCAACTGTTTCTTCTGCACTAGTCATCTCTCTCTCTTCATATTTGATTGAGCCATCTTTTGACATTGTCTCCTTTAAATCGTCGAGGATTTCTTCATCCTCGGACCTTGTTTCTGCTGTTAAGGTTTCAGTAATATCGACACTGACAACCTTCCCCACAACCTTGGAATCAACCAAGAATCGGACAACAATTAAATTGATGCCAGGGTGTTCGGCCATTCTTGCACCGTAGGCAAGAGCTTCATGATCGTCGTGTCCTCCGAAGAAAAGCACAACTATAACAGAATCAAGATTGCTTGCAGGAATGTGAGTGTTTCCACCAAGCCCACGATCCACAAAGAGACCAATTGAACATGGTGCATGCTCAAGAACCCTCCTGTTGACATACCTGAGATCAGCTCGAGTCGTCTCTAATTGCCCATCTAGCCTCTGATGCTTGTGGAATGGGAGGATTATCATGGCAGTTCTTTTACTCTCAGCACTAGCACATACATCCTCGTGTATGCTTGACATTGGTGAGATTGCAGTCATGGGTCGGATTGAGACTTTGCTCAGATGTCGAAAAGCCTCGAAGGCAACAACAATTTGGTTGGAATCAGAGTCCCTCCCTTTGTTCCAAAATGGCCGGCCATTCCTTCTTGCCTTGTGAACCATAAGTACTGCTGATGACCTTTCGGAGAGCTCCATAAGGTGCATTGCGTAGACACAAATTACTTCCTTTTTCCCCATTCCTCGCGAAGCCTCGATGAGATTAATCAATGAAGGAATATTCCTCGTACTGTGGAAACAGACCATCACTCGGAGTTGTGTACCTGTATCTTTCCTACGAATCGTTCTGTGCTTGTATTCAGTTTTGCTTATAGTTTTGGCAGGCTTATATACTGCCACGACTAAAGGAGTGGTGATAAAGGTTGTGAAGAGTGCCATCAGAACCAAGATAGTAAATGTTTGCTCATTCAACACCTGCGAAATCAATCACATAAAATGACCACAATCGCGAATGCAGAAATAACAAACAAACACAGGTAACTAGTTTTGAGCCTGATCTTAATTCTTACCCCTCTGTCCTTCCCAATGTTGAGGACAATGAGCTCCACCAAGCCTTTAGTGTTCATCAAAATCCCCAAAGCTAAAGCCTCCTTAAAAGGCACTCTGCACAAAAGTGAGACCACAATTGTACCCACGATCTTGCCAAAACAGGCTGTAAATATGACCAAAACAAGCAGACCCCAAGACTGAGCCCCATGAATACTGGCCACATTGGTCTTCAATCCGCTTGAGACAAAGTACAATGGAAGGAAAAGACCAGAAACAAGATCCTCAACCTTTTCCACGAGAGCCCCCGCAAATGGCCCTTCCTTTGGGACTAGAACTCCCATCACGAAAGCCCCGAAAAGGGCATGGATTCCAATAGTATCAGTGACAAATCCTGCGGCTAAAACTGCTGCTAAAGTAGAACAAATGTACATTTCATCCACTGGCTCACCCTCGGGGCATCGACGTGCCATCCATTTGAATATAGGTGGCATTACAAATGTGCAACAAAGAACAAAACCAGACCCACACAAGAACACCCACAGAGAAATAAGGGGTGAATGGCCCGTGCCAGAGAGGGCAATGGCGAGAGCAAGCAGAATCCATGCAGCCACGTCGTTGACTGCTGCAGCAGACATGGCCATTCGGCCAACATCAGTGGTTAAAAGCTTGAGCTCGGCCAGGATACGAGCCAATACAGGGAAGGCAGTAATGGAAAGTGCCACTCCCATGAACACAAGAAATGGACCTTCATTTACAC